CGGGGGGGGACGCGCTTTCCTCTTTCCAGGGCAAAAGCAGAAGGAGCGGACGATTCCCCTCCCACCCCTCCCCGGTAAGGTGACTAATGATGGAGCGTTACTGGCTTTCAGATTTAAAACAATTCATTACCAATTTTCCTGTCTGAGGTTGAAGCTCTAGTAAATAATAAATCAGCTAAACAAAAGCCGACTTTAATTTATTGCCCCAGCGCTAATTAGAAACATCATTTGAGCAATAAACTTAAACACTTCCAGCAAATGATGCACGTGAAACCCTTCTCTCCTGTGTCTGGGCGTTTGTGGCCGCGCTGCATTAAGACCGGCTTCGTCTGCGGCGGAATTTGCTCTCGCCGGGATGAATAATTGAAGGGGGAACAGGATCCGAGGAGGCTATAATTGAAGAGCCCTTGTCACCTCTGCTTTTATGTGTGTTAGCGCAGAAGTCCATCAGCAGCTCCTCGGCGGTGCCTAGGACGAAGCGGCAGCCCCCCCGGCAGCGGGAGATACTGTATGCCATTAAACAGACCCTGGGCGTGCGGGTGTGCCGCGGAGAGGGAAACTCTCGGGGCTAAAAGCCACTTGAAGTCTTCAGAGCGATTGATCTGTATTCTCTCGTTATAATCCGTCTCATCATACTTGAGTTAATGAGGCAGGGGCGGGGGTGATCTGATGGTCCTTGACAAATTCATTAGGGAGGCTGCGGGACATTTTATTTGACTGTTAAACATCGTGTTTGTTTGGTTTAAGCAGTGCCAACACCAGCACGCCGCTGCCTGCAGCAATAGTGTTTTTTTTTTTCTTCCCTCCCCTTTTTTTTTTTTTTTTTTAAGAGAACCCTATGTATTTGTATTACCCCTTAAAAAAAACAAAAAACAGGAGAAAACTGGAAAGCAACTCGGGAGTTTTAGCAAGGAGCACGCAAGTTTCTCACCGGGTTATGATGTAGCGTGCTTGTGTATGCTTGCCTAACCAGCTTATTGAAGTGGCGTACGTTACATATCTCAGAGCTTTTTTTTTGTTCTGAATGGTGTATTTTAAAGTTTCTGTAACACGCTGCTGATACAAGGTGTAATTTTTAAGGCAAATCAAAGTTCAGTCATACTGACTTGAGGCTATTAAAGGATTTCTGCCAAATCTGCCCTTTTTCTCTCCCTCTCCCCTTGCTGAGAGGAGAGGGAAAAGTGCAGGCAGGAACAGGTGCTCCCAAAAGGGGTAAGAAGGATTTTTATGGGTAGCGTATGAAATATGTATGTGTACGCTTTGTTCACGGCAGCTTCGTAGGTGAGACCCAGCTAGCATTCCCTTATTTTCTAGTAGTTGGTTTCCTCTCTGCCCTTTCATTTAAGGGAAACGGTTTTGTGGAAAACAGAATAATTAATCTGCTTGTGGAACCTAACATTGTAATATTTTTTTCCTGGAGAACAGTCTTCAAACGTTCTCAGCTTTAAGTGCTTTGTAGGACTCTGCTTCCATTTATAGAAGAACAGTATGGGAAAAAGAGCTGGTGCCCTTTGCCTGTCATTTTCATACATTCCTGCACTGCTGATGGAGCTTGAACTGCTGCAGGGAATGTATGCGTTTGGAAAGAAATGATTCAGTAATGCATGCTGCGCTTCTCCACAGCAAAAGTGCGTTAATAGTTACAGTAAATGCTGCTGTGGGTTTGAGAGGTAAAATTCTGTTTGCATTCAATAGCATATAGTGTGTACCTTTTCTTGAAAGTGGTGGCTCGGCTTTACTATCTGCTGCTCTGTTCTGAGGTCTGTGTTTATGAAGTTAGTTGGTAGCGCACGCTGGTGGGGACGAGAGGGTTTCATTTCTACACGTGTAATGCATCTTATCAGTTAGGAGTATTGCATAAATCTCATACTTTTTTCTATGGTATGGTAATTAAATATTTTATACACGTTTCTAAGTCTCCCCTAGATTTCGTTTCTGCAGTGGCAGAGGGGAGGGTTCCCACTACTCCTTTGAGTATTTTTGCTGTCCTGTTCAGTCTTAAAATGCAAACATGTTCAGATTGCGGTGTTTAACCATGAGCAACCTGCAGCTTAAGGCTTTCTCTAATGCTTTGAGTCTTGTATTAAAGGCAACTGCTTCTCTTTTCTTGCGGTGACTAATGGCAACTTCTTTTAAGCCATAAGATTGCTTTGGATGTTAAACACTGTTTTGTAAGTTTGCCTTCAGTAAGTTGGCGATCAGGCAAAATCAGACATGTGCACCAGAAAAGAACATTTCCAGTGCTTTTGTAGCATTTTCTTCTCATTAAAAGTTCTTGCGGGCCTTTTGTTTTGCTTGGATGCAGTTGGGGTGGGTGCATGCTGTTTTATCCAGTAGAAATAACCAAATTCACGTGTGTTGGCTGGTCTTTATTTACAATAATTGATTAATTACATTAATGACATCAATTTTTTAAAGTACGAGAAGATGTAACATGCCAGGATTTTGTCAACTTGACCTCCAGTTGAATGCAGTAACACTTACTTGCTTGAGAAAAATGTGAGGTGGGCTGGAGAGATAATGCCTCGCCTG